CGGGTTGGAGCCATGCCACCGGGTGACGTGTGCGGAGTCACCCTGGGGAATAGCTGCCTGAATGCTGCTTATTTTTAAGCTCGTTGCTTTTTTTTTTGTTGCCCCCCTCCTCCCTTTAAGTTAGGTTCCCCCATGGATTCTTTGCACAAGGAGTTTTGGCTCAGTGCAGCTGATTTTTGAGCAGTTGGCAAAGAGCGGGGTGTTAAACTTGAGCCCAAACACAGAAGGGATTATCTGCAGTTTGTGTTTAGGGCCCCCGTCACGCGCTCGTAGCACTAAGCGCTCTCCCTGCTGCCTACATTTACTTACCTTGCCTGGGGAGAGCAGACCCATCCAATTGCACCTAAATAAATATTGCAGAGCCGCTACCCAGCCAGTAGCCTCAGACTTAAAAGGAATAAAATGGACACAAAGCGGTGATGTGGCCCATGGCGTCCTCAAAGGCTTCTGTACCAAAGAGCCCGCTGCCAGCCGAGCCAGCGTTTTCGTTTTCCTCGGTCCAGCCGATTTCCAAGCAAGCGGCAGGGCGAGCAGGTAGTCAGCACTCGGGCCAGATCTGGCGGTTGAAGTCCAGTGGGGCTGTGCCAGTTTCCCGAAGGGCAAACGAGGCAGCTCTGCAGCGTCTCTGTTTTACCACGCAGTCGGCTTTGCTTGCAGGCGTTCAACCCAACTATCCGACCTCTGCAGACCCTCAAACTCTGCTTTTCTCCCCCAGGACTCAGCAGGGAGGTGCAGAAGCACTGGGCTTAAGTCCTCCTTCTGTGTGGTTTCTTTTTTGTCTTGTTCCTTTTGTTATTTGTCACAACTAGGGGATGAAGTTCGATCCGTGGAGGACTTGTACCTGCTTTCGCTGGAGGTTCGGGCTGGCTTTGCATCCCGCGGGGAGGACTAGTTTGCAGGAAAGCTGCTGGAGCAGCAGGGCGGACTGGGGTGTTAGCGCAGGAAATTTTCCGGACTCAGTTTCATGGAGCAGTCGTTGCCCATGTCTTAACAGCATCATCGCATGTCTGTGCCGCTTGCCCCAGCCCGCGGGGGTGGCTGGAGTTGCCTGTTCCCGCCGTCCTCCTGCCCTTCCAGCCTCCCTGGTTCCCCTCGGGATGGTGGGGGTCGGTGGTCCCATCCTGGTTAGGCGGTCGGTCGTCAGCCTTCGCTCCGTGCCCTCCCCGCTCAAGGCACTTCATTTCGGAGAGTTCCACGCCGCGCTGGTGGTGTTCGTGGCATGCCGTCACCGCCGATGAGCGCGAGGGACACCGGGGCGCGTCTTTGACGCCGCTACATCAGAGAGAGACGGTGCTGCGCGCCAGGTGACCCAGCGCGGCTGGGCCGCTTTCCGCTCTTCGGTGCGGGCTGCTGAGGGACGGAGCAAGTCGCAGCCTTGGGCGACTGCAGGGGCAAAACCATGGGCTGCTCCAGGTTGGGGTCCTTCTGGCCAGCGTTGGCTTTAACCAGCAGCGGGTCTCCAGGCTTTTTCCCATCCCTTGAGCGCGTCTGAACCCAGTGATTAGATTTCAGTGAAGTCTCTCCCCCCCCTGTTGCTCTCCGGGCTGTGGCTACTGTAGATGCAGCTGGGGAGCCGACTCGGACAGGGTAACCACCACGATGCAACCTCTGCCGTTGCCTTGGAGCACAGAGGGCTTCATTTCACAAAGCCTAAAGTCTTTCAGCCCCCTCCCGGGGTGGAGCTTGATGAGGGTCTGAGCACCCCCAGCGCTGCTGGTGGGACGGAGCTGGAGATGCCGGAGACGAGCAAGAGCTTGCCTTGAGCCGGGCGGCTGAGGGCAACGTGAGCTCGGTGTGGTGTGTGGCAGCTCGGCAGGTAGGATGGGGCAGGATGGAGCCTGCTTGGCTAAGGAAGAACCGTGGCGTCCTGTCCCAACGGGAGGGGACTTTTTTGGGGAGAAGATCAGACCCTGAAGGAAGAGAGGGGCTTCCTTGGGGGATCTGAGCGGTCTAGGAGGGGAGCGGTGCTGATGGTGCCCAAGTTTAGCTGTTGCGCTTTCCTCGCCCGGGCTGTGACAGCGCTGGGGTTTGTTCTGGGGTCTCGCTCTGGAGAGCGGTCAAGGCCAGGTCTTTCTGTTCGGTCTGAAAGCCCGCGACTCGGCCGCTGCGGCTGAGGGCTGCAGCCCAGGGTGGGCACCACGTCCCCATGGCTGCTGACCGTGCTCTCCCCTTCTCCGCAGTGACCACCACCAGCCCCATGAAGACGCTCTACGTCATGTCGGACGCCAAGCTGTCTGCGCTTACCAAGTCTGTGATGGGTGAGGCTACCTCTGTCCCCCTCAAACTGCCGGGCATCCAGCCTTCCTCCTCCTCTTCCTCCTCGTCTGCCAGCTCTCCCACTGGCACCGTCACCTTCGCCACCTCCCCCCTGGCCAGCGCCCCTAGCCCTCCCGGCAGCCTGGTACACTCGAAGGTGGGACCTGTCCTGCAGACCGCTTCCAAGACCGTCATCCTGACCTCGACGCTGGCCACGATGAAGGGTGATGGACCCCTGGGGCACATCGGGGAGAAGGTCAGCCTGACCAAGAGCGCCGCGGCCCTCGGCCATGCTCTGGGGGCAGTGGAGACCCTGGGGAGGGTTCCCTCCGTGGTGGATGACGGGA